GTTAGCGAGCACACAAAGACAAAACATCCCCCGTGTAGCCTTGACCAAGCCGTAGGGGCAAGTGCTGTTAGCGAGCACACAAAGACAAAACATCCCCCGTGTAGCCTTGACCAAGCCGTAGGGGCAAGTGCTGTTGGCGAGCACACAAAGACAAAAAATCCCCCGTGTAGCCTTGACCAAGCCGTAGGGGCAAGTGCTGTTGGCGAGCACACAAAGACAAAACATCCCCCGTGTAGCCTTGACCAAGCCGTAGGGGCAAGTGCTGTTGGCGAGCACACAAAGACAAAACATCCCCCGTGTAGCCTTGACCAAGCCGTAGGGGCAAGAGCTGGTAGCGAGCACACATTGTGGTCGTTGCGCAGCGCACGTAGCGGGGATGTGGTTGGGACCACTCCGAACAACCCTCTTATCACCCTGCGTGACGATGTTCACACACCGCACCAGGGTACTCGTTTAAGGCTGAGTCTACCTAGGGGATGCCCAGGACACGTTGTGATACCACTGTCGTTTTTCATGGCTGTGAATTGAACTGAACTACGCGCATTCGTAGCGCAGCGCGCTAATCACCGGGGCACCGCTCCCCACGTCTGACCACAAAGACAAAGATCTCCCGTAAAGCCTTCACCCGACTGTTGGGAAGACAAAGATACCCCTATAGCCTCACCAGATGTTTGGGGCAAGTGCTCTTAGCGAGCAAATATGAAGGCCAGCACGGCACACGAGGGGGTGTAGGTGGCCAGCACCACGCCCGGCCGCCTTTGTCTCCCCAGTGGCGATGTTTACACACTGCACCGGGTACTCATTTGAGGCTGAGTCGACCTCAGGTGTACACGCGCACACAATGTGGCACAGCACACGAATATGTGTATACATTTCATAAAAAAAAACACACGAATATTTTACACACGTTTGAAAGCGTATTTTATACGCCAGCGTCTTAGTCTATCGTTTGTTTGTTAAGATGATCGCTTAGGATCGGGTTAAAAATATCAGGGCAGCCGTATCCATAGTGAGGCGACAACACCAACACACACTACGCCCTCTTGTTTACCATCATCCTGAGACTTGGTCAACAGGGCTCTCGGCAGGAGGTCGACGTGCTGATGCAGGCAATTAAGACGGCGTTCTTCTGGGCATTCGCTCTGGCATGCACTACTACTCAGAGCCTTTGCTATCCCTCCCTCAAAGGTAAACAGGGCGTCTAACAAGCACACCACGGCGTGGGTATTTTAAGCTATAGCCGGCGCAAGCCAGTGGACAATTAATTGACCCCTGAAAGTGAAGTCTCTAGACAAGTGGGATTTTGCAGGATGAATGTTTCGCAATTTTTTTTTTCAGATTTTGATGGCTATTTGTTGTTGTACTTTAAACGTGCGTTTAGAGTTATTTGGCTGCGATACATTTACACGTGTCTAAGCCACTTCATTGGGCTACCATTTGTGGCTAGGTCGCTTCTGAAAAAGAGCCATTTTGCTCAGTGGGCCTTAGCTGGTATTAAAAATAAAATAAATAGTTTATAGTTGAGTGTTATAATGGTATGCGTGTGTTTTAATCATCTGTGGCTGCAGTTGAATACATGAGGAAATAATTACGGAGTCATGAAACCAGTTTTCCAGATGTGTGGGCCCACCTTTTCTCATTATTTTGAAGCAAATTTCAGAGGCAGGAGTAATAATGAAGTTTGTTTCATTCCATCCGGGTTAAAAAAAACCCATCTTCAAATGTTGAACTTCAACCTAATATAAAATAAATGTAATGTCAACTAAGAAAAATTATGCACGTAAATAATAATGGCAGTATTTTCTTCTAACTGATGCAAACATAACATTTTAACAAAAGTTATCATACATTAGAAACTGTTATGCAATTTATGAATACAAAATGAAAAACATAACCACGGGAAGATTAAATGTGAGCAGAACGCTATAGCATATGACTTGCTATTTATTATTAAATGTCTTTGTTTCATGTTCAATAAATCACATTGTATCGGGCATGAGCGGTGGTGGAGTGGTTTGTGCACTGCACATTTAATCCGGTGACCTGAGTTCGATTCCTGTCCATGGCTCGCATCACTGAACCTGTCTTAGGTCCCCTCTTTAGCAACCTACACTGACCAGTGTGGTGAAGTATGGTCAACCAATCCCCATGACTGACACAGTGCGGGGAGGCCTTCATCCAGCCATGGATAGACCAAGGGCTTAAGTTATTATTTTATGAAGTGATAATCAATTGAGACAACCAACACAATTTACACGAACTGATCATACTAATAACTAAAAATGCTCACACCAAACCAAATAATAGGATACTAAAATGTGAAATGTATCAACCTTTCAGTACCATGCATATGCAGCAGCGACATGGTCGCTTGTTGCAAATTTTAAAAATAAATTGAAAACTAATTTCCATCTCTCCACAAATAAAATGATTCTCCCACAACCCATCAGCCGCACGGTCTTCTGGGAGTGCGTAATTTCAGCAGCATTGTTTCGAGACGAGCAAACTCTGAACCGGTTTTGACATGCATATACAATGTCAAAGTATACAGTTGCAACTTACGACTACTGAAATTATTGATTAATCTACATATGTAATTCCCAGAATACATCTCTCCATGCAGTGCACTTATCATCTTATGTTCTAAACGATTGTCTTCATCAGTGTCCTTGTTTCCGATCCATGGAATAGAAGGTAACGCGGACGCCTGTGCGCTGCTTTTCATTCAATATCGGCTCTTTGTCAACCAAGTGAGTACGTCTGAACATTTGTTATCACGCACGGTCATGAGACCAGTCTGTCACGAATGCTCACGTACCAATCTCTTATAGAATAACAACAACAACAACACTCTTTTTATTCTGTCGCCAAAACTGGCTCAGACTCAAGGATTGACCCCGGTTGCTGGCTCAAGATCGTTAGGCTAGAGACTCCCCTCCACACAGTGCCGGATTAAGCTGGTGCGGAGCCTGTAGCATTTGCTATAAAAAGGCTCTAAATTTAAAAAAAAACACGTAAATATAAAACACATTTTTAACTTGCATAGTGAAGTAATTGTATTTTTTCGTTTGCTATACAGCCACAGATATGACAAATCGCTAACCGTAAACACCCAGTCGTTCATAAAACTTGAAGGCGGTTTAGTACTATAGCAATAGAGCAAGTGCAGAATAACTGAACCGGAATTGATAGCTTGAAAGCATTTAGCGCGGGGCCCTTGAAAGTGCGGGGCTCGTAGCTACTACATATGTAGCTGCTACCTATGTAGCTGCTACCTATGTAGCTGCTACCTATGTAGCTGCTACCTATGTAGCTGCTACCTATGTAACTGCTACCTATGTAGCTGCTACCTATGTAGCTGCTACCTATGTAGCTGCTACCTATGTAGCTGCTACCTATGTAGCTGCTACCTATGTAGCTGCTACCTATGTAGCTGCTACCTATGTAGCTGCTACCTATGTAGCTGCTACCTTTGTAGCTGCTACCTTTGTAGCTGCTACCTATGTAGCTGCTACCTATGTAGCTGCTACCTATGTAGCTGCTACCTATGTAGCTGCTACCTATGTAGCTGCTACCTATGTAGCTGCTACCTATGTAGCTGCTACCTATGTAGCTGCTACCTATGTAGCTGCTACCTATGTAGCTGCTACCTATGTAGCTGCTACCTATGTAGCTGCTACTGTGACGTACGATTCGCAAGCACATGGTGATCCTGCTGCTGCTGCTGCTGCTGCTACTGCTGGAACCTGCGCGCAAACCTCGCGCGGCGATACGGCGAGCGCTGTGGAAGCAATGCCGGATTATCGTCGTCGCTACATAGGTAGCAGCTACATAGGTAGCAGGTAGCTGCTACCTATGTAGCTGCTACCTATGTAGCTGCTACCTATGTAGCTGCTACCTATGTAGCTGCTACCTATGTAGCTGCTACCTATGTAGCTGCTACCTATGTAGCTGCTACCTATGTAGCTGCTACCTATGTAGCTGCTACCTATGTAGCTGCTACCTATGTAGCTGCTACCTATGTAGCTGCTACCTATGTAGCTGCTACCTATGTAGCTGCTACCTATGTAGCTGCTACCTATGTAGCTGCTACCTATGTAGCTGCTACCTATGTAGCTGCTACCTATGTAGCTGCTACCTATGTAGCTGCTACCTATGTAGCTGCTACCTATGTAGCTGCTACCTATGTAGCTGCTACCTATGTAGCTGCTACCTATGTAGCTGCTACCTATGTAGCTGCTACCTATGTAGCTGCTACCTATGTAGCTGCTACCTATGTAGCTGCTACCTATGTAGCTGCTACCTATGTAGCTGCTACCTATGTAGCTGCGCTGCTACCTATGTAGCTGCTACCTATGTAGCTGCTACCTATGTAGCTGCTACCTATGTAGCTGCTACCTATGTAGCTGCTACCTATGTAGCTGCTACCTATGTAGCTGCTACCTATGTAGCTGCTACCTATGTAGCTGCTACCTATGTAGCTGCTACCTATGTAGCTACCTATGTAGCGACGACGATAATCCGGCATTGCTTCCACAGCGCTCGCCGTATCGCCGCGCGAGGTTTGCGCGCAGGTTCCAGCAGTAGCAGCAGCAGCAGCAGGATCACCATGTGCTTGCGAATCGTACGTCACACTGTCGAAAAGTACTCCATACCCGTTCTCGCTGTTCGCTTTGTTTCATCAGTTTCATCCAGGTCCGCCTGGAATATTCTCTCGAGGTGTAACACACGCTGATGTGAATTCCCTTTTTTCGGCACCTCCAACGACGATTCGCCCTTGTGTTGTTTTGGGCCACGATTACACCCCCGTGAATTTTTAATTAGCGGTTAATTATAGTGCCCTTCCAAAAATGTTAGCAAATACAGGGGGCTACATCGATGATACCTGCCTCTATACCTATCATCCTAATGAGCCTCTAAGGAAATGCAAACGGTTCTTATAGGGCCGCCTGGGCTATTTACCGAAGCCTTTTGCACGCTATCGCACCTGGCTAATGGTCATTGTGCACATTGCAACGTGGGGTCACACACATGGCAGTGTCGCTGATAGAATTAGTGGAGACTCCTGGCGATGCGCTCTTGCTCGTGCTCATGGCGTGCTTAGCCACCTCGATCGTCGTGTCGAACCTGATTCTAATCGCGGCCTTCGTGAACTCGAGAGCGCTATTGAAACAAAACAACTATCTCTACACCCTGAGCCTCGCCATTAGTGATTTTCTCGTCGGTGCCGGATTTTTTTACAACGGCCTCTACGATGTCAAGGACGAGTTTGGTCCTGCATACAGCCCGCCGATTGTCATTCCGGTCATTCACGGTGTATCCCTGCTGACTCTGCTCGCTTCCATGCTCGATAGGTATTACGCCGTGCATTCGCCTTTTAAGTACGTGGAAAAAATTAGTCGTGGGAAAACCATGCTAATCATCGGTTTCACTTGGATCGTGCCGCTTGTGACGTTACTCATGAACTCGAACATGTCAACGTCTTCGAAGCTCACTTACAAAGCTTACTCAACCACCGCTGTCAGCATATTCCTCCTCGTGGTCATGGTGGTGATCAACACCAGAATCTACATAACCACCAGGCGTCAGCAAAGTCGCGAGCCTGGAGCAGAGTCCAAGGCGCGCGCCGCTCACCTCGTCATCATCGCGTCCACAATGTTCATCATTCTCTGGATGCCCAGCCTAATCGGCATGGCGATATGCGCAGGATTTAACATGTGCATATCAGCGCCCTACAATGCCAAAAACCCGCTCAACACCTTGCGGATTCTGAACACCCTGAGCACGCCCGTCATCTTTTTGATTGGAAGCAAATTGACCAGAGCGTCTCTGAAGGAGCTGGCTCTGCGTCTGCGTTGCAAAAGGTTACTTTTATAGTTATCTTCTGGCTATTAACCTCTCTGACTTTACACGTGTTTTTCCCTTCCCCATGTTTACACCGTTACACACACATGTATCCCATGTAACTTTGCAGTGTTTAGAACTCCGTTCTGCTTGTATACTGTCTTCCTCCTGGTTTGATTTAAACGGTGTTGTGTATGCTCTTACCCATAATTCTCCACAACGACACGGAATGCATTTGTGTGCAATAATTGCTATTTGCGTTTAACAGGGCCGGCCGCATTGTTGAAATGGAGTGCTTTTGCCAATAACACTTGGCAACTAAGCAGCATTTGTTTAATAAGCCTTAATCTACTGATGAGACCCAGACGGTCAAACCCGGTCCAGGGTATGCTTGCTTAAACATATGCTGCCGATGAGTCAATAGGCAGATGGACTAAAACGTATTTTTGGTATATATTTGGAGTGTTTGGGACAAGTTCTGTTAATGGGCACCTATCGAGGCTGGCACGATAAACAAGTAAGTAGTATGATCAGCAAACATGCCTTGCTGAATGCCTCCTCAACGCTGATGTGTGAACGTTTGAGGCTGAGCATATCTATAGGAAGACTTAAGACCTGTTCAGATCTTAAACTCACATAATTGGGTTTCGTAGCGCAGTGGACAAACCTACTCCGCCACCACTCTCCATCAGTTACACGTGCACACACCCGGGTCGTGTAATTAGCTGCAAATAGGCACACGGCGCTTAATCGTGGCACCGTGAATGCTGGCTTTGGTGTAAACTCGCGAAATCTCTGACGGGAAATTAAGCTGTTACGGAATATGATGAGTTAATTCCTGTTCTCAATTTGGCACTCCGGTCATCCTCGTAGCGGCTTTTCGCTAGAAATCGAACTAAGTCGGTCACTGCATTGGACGCTTTCAGATGCGCTTCTGCGGCCGTATGGAACGCTCTTTCTTCCAATATTAGGAAGCCACTGGAGCTATGCACTTTTAAATTTTGATTGAAAACTCATTTCTTCATACATACGTTTAAGCAAAACGCAAATGATATGTCTTTGTCACAAGCCCATTTGAAAAATTACAATATCGTTTCTGTGTATTGAATGAAGAAAATGTTCATACCGACGCAGACGTTAATACAAATAACCATATTTTACAGATCCGTTTCACCATCGACTGCATGCACCACATGAATACATGCATCAAGAGTTGGAGACATCATCAATAACTTTTACCTTTAATCTCAAAACTACGAACCACAAAAAAACTGTCTCTTCTTGAGCAGTGTGAACCCCACACGGACAGAGGAGGCAGTGAGTATATAACTTGAGATCTGTCATTTCTTAAGCGTTCATGATTTACTGTCTAACAGTCACTGTGTGTGAATTAAACTTCGTTGTGCTAATTACTCGTAGTGGACCGATTCACCCCTCCCCCCCGCTAATAATTGCCAGACTTTTGTCAATGCACTTCGAGACATGAAGGCATCTGCGTTCCGTGGTCGCTGTGTCCGTTCATTGTGGTCATTTGACCATGCTTCACCATGCTGGTCAGTCGAGGTTGGTGAATGCACGCTCAAAGGCTGGTTAAGATAACATCTCGCCACCGATGTTAGCCATGGCCAATAATTTAATTCAGGTGGCCGGGTTCGTGGCAGGTCATGTACTATCTATTGCGCTACCGCTTGGCTCACATATTTCTTGAACAAATTAAAGTACATTGAGTCTTACACAGGAATCGATTAATACATGTAAATGTTCTTATATAGTTTTATGTGTTTAAAATGAGCCATTAAATATCAATCGGGGAATATTTTAAACAGAAACTTTAATGGGATAATTACGTAAAGGATTTACGTTGTGAAAATTAACTCATTTCCAGTACTGTAATTCAAATTCAAATTAATTAGCTTGGTCAGCCACAAAAATAAGCGATAGCATGCATTTTTGCCTAAAGTCTTGATGTATGGAATATGGAATTAAGTTTACCGTTCCACAATGTTTAAACAATAGGGGTATAAGAACAATTCAACCTCGGGCCAACACTTTCCGCCTATCCCCACAGCAATTCGATTAATGTTTTTTGGTATTTTACCATCTCACTTGCATTGTTTTTATTTTGTTTCACGTGTAGTTTTGTTTGCTGAACGAGCCTAAATGTAACAGCGTAGGATTTGCTAAATCTAAAAAATATATATTCTTACCTGTACAACGCAAAATTCGACATTAAGCCAATTAATCAATGCACCTTTACTCCTCAAGTAGATAACACCTCAAGTAGAAAGCCAGCGTTGAATGCTTATCCGTTGTATTTTTTTTTAACGAGAGCCGAGGGTTATATCTACAAACATTACAGGGGCTTCCTTGAACACAGCATACAGGATGTCCATGAAGGTATCATCCATTACAAAACAATACGTATACATTAACCTGAGCTTGGAGAACTAAAATGACACAAGGGCAGACGTGGTAGCGTGCAGATGGTATCGCATCAGTGTCAGCCCTCTATACATCCACATGTCAAACGTGTCATTGGTGACTCACATCACGTTGGGATTTGAGAGTCGCAGGTATTCACCAACATTGCGAGTGCGATTATAATCGAATTGCTGTTGGAAGATCACTCACGGTCTTTTGTTTACAAAATGCTTCACTACGACGTGAAAACGTTGCCAATATTTCAACCGCGCAGTCCAAATCGCTAATTATCTGGGCGCTGGTAGCACGCACCTACGACCTGGCACAGTGGGTGCAAGGGTTTGGTAGATCACACAGATTTGTGATACTCCCAAACCCGCTGGCTTGCATGGTCATCATGCCCTGGCTTACCACGGTTACACAGTACTCTACAGCAAGTATATATTCATTTCTGCCTGTATTTCATCTGTCTGAGGATTGAGTGTTACTCCCCCACGCATGCATGCGTTTTCTCTGGGTACTCCGATATCCTCACAACCACTCATTAACGGAGTGACCAAACATCCCAATATAGGGCCACAGAGCTTGGGCAATTGTTTCTGTCGGTTTGCCTACCCCGCTTGTCTGTTGCCTTCCGCGCCTCTGAACCTCACCAAAACTGTGCGTGTTCGAAAGGAGAGGATCTATTATATGTATGTTAATGTATTCATATTCTTTAATAATGGATGCTACTTTTTATTCAAGAACGAAACAGGATTTCTCCACAAATCTGGCGGTCGCCTGATGATGCTCGTTGTAATTACTGGCAAAACGTCATACTCGAATTATTAATCGTGTGGGTTTACTCTCAACACACCGGCGTGCTGTACCAGTAACAAATTGCCATGTTCTGTTTACGTGACAAACCTTACTATTTGGCTGTGTTGGGTGGTGGCGGGTTTAACGAGACATTTATATATTTACGTGATCTAACCCAAAAAAACTATATTATAGATGATAATTTCATAGGAACCTTGTATATGTGAATGGGCGAATACGATATCCTGTACTAAAATTAGTTGTGACTCAAAACTACATAACAGGAATGCACTTGAGGCTAGTTTATTTTTATTATTAAGATGTAAATGTTTAAACAAACATTATGAAGATTTAAAAAATGGGAGCATTCGGTCTTAAACGATTCACCTGCTAAAATAAATGCAACGCTCACGAATGGGATTATCTAAACATCTCAGCGTGAAACGCCCACGGGAAAAAAAACCACACCAGTCCTGAGACTCGGTGCGTGGGTAACAAATGGATAAATGATGGACATTAAAGCTGTGGGTGTGAAATGAATGTGCTAATCCCACCTGTGTGTACTTTGTATCGGATGGAAATGTTGAACGCGAAGGTGTTGTGTCTCTTGAGGCTTGGCGGGCCTGTTTTTGCCGTGTCGAGGAACGGCTGTTGTCCACATTGCAAGAAAATAAATGACCACACAAAGGGACTTCCCTACATCGCTTTGCATGATGGCTCCTTGTTCAGATACAGAGTCTAGACTCTTTGATTTTCCTGTCCTGAACATTACAACGGGCAATTGCTTCGTACATTAAATGTTGAAGTAAATAAAAACGTCGGGGGAAAAAAGACTTTGTGAATTTTGCAACACTATTGTATAATTGTATAATTACGGTCACCAGTACGAGCATACTTTGTATAAATTACGTTCTGATGGTTTTGTTAGGAAAACAAAGAAGTTTGCAAACATTTCTAACAACACATTCCTGCGGAGGGAGCTGGTAGGAACGTTGGGTTGCTCGGTCAATAGCCAGGGTCAACGGCGGCGTGGTGTATCCCGCAAATATGCTCGACTGTGAGGGCGGGCACAAGCCGGCGTGAGTAGGTTAAACGTTGAGTTTTATAAGGGCACCCACGGGGTGACCAGCCCCTCCCCACCCAGCCCCTCCCCACCCAGCCCCACCCCACCCAGCCCCTCCCCACCCTCCCCACCCAGCCCCTCCCTGCACGACGGACAGACACAATAATCCCCTGTGGGCTGATAGAACCAGGAGGTTCCTACCAGTATAATATATCCTTCAACCAAGCGTGCACCTGCGGGCACACACAGGGTTAAAACCCATTGGTTGCTGCCGTTGAATCATCACAATGCCCTATGACTCTGACGTGTTTTGTCACCGAGCTGTGTGAGCTCGTGATTGGTTGTGGGGGTCTTCCCTCCTCTCCAATGGCATTGAGGCAGCCCGGCGGCAATAGGCGGCGCCTACACGCGGAGTGCCGGTGAGGTCTTGGGAGTGGGGCTCATATCTCGTGAGCCACGCCACGAGTGGGGGACATTGCTGTAACGCATTGTAGAACATAATGCCGAGTGCGAGCGAGGCTTTGTTCTTTAAACGCCACTGAAGGCAAAACACACGTTGGTCTCCACAATACAGGGTTTTATTTTGGGTTAGATCGCGTAAATATATAAATGTGTCGTTAAACCCGCCACCACCCGACACGGCCTATTAGTCAGGTTTGTCACGTAAACAGAACGTGGCCAATTCGTCACCAGTGCAGCACACCGGTGTGTTGGGAGACCAAAGCCACAACGTTTACAATCTGAGTACGACGTTTTGCCAGGAATTACAACTAGCTTCATCAGGCAACAGCCAGATTTGTGGGATTGTGACAAACGTTTGTCTGTCAGCCCGTCTGGCTTGACTAAATTCGCACATGCCATGCTTCCAAATGCGGTTGACAAATGTGTATATTACTGAGTGGTTGTCACGTGGAAACATGAACACAAACGTTTGGTCATTGCCTGCCGTGATAAATGCGTATCGGTCATTCAGCCGCTTGACTGGAATACTGATGCTGCCCACGGTGAGATAAACACGAGGCATCGTTTGTGGGAGGCTGGGTTTGGTAAAACAACGATCAAGGTTCACGTTGAAAAAATACATATTGAATAAACTGATCACATTGCTATACATAGTTACATTTATCTTAAAATGACTGCAGCCATTCCTATAGGCTAGTTTTGGCGGAGCGGTGCCGTCGTGGCCCGAGTGCTGAGCTACTAACCAGGCCACCTGAGGGGCCTGCGTTGTCAGCTGAAGGCAACCCAACAAAAGCCATTCTACTACCGGATTATTGCCGCAATGTCTATGCTCCCTACCTTCACCAACCGGCACTATAACCTCCACGGCTGACACAGTGTGGGAAGGCCTTCATCCAGCAGTTGGATTGATACTGAGCTAAACGATTAATTTTTTTAGTTTTCTATTTTTAGTTATTTTGCTTCATATTTTAAAAAAATATTAAGTCATCCCACAGCATACATTAAAGCATTAGCGGCGTACTGGTCAACCATATGGCGGTGTTTTGTGGCTGATGAGCTCCGCGCTAAAAATACGATTTTGCCGTATCTGCGGAGAGACCACCAAGGAAGTATCGTGTGTGGTATCGTGTGCCATTGCGTGAGTCAGAGCACGTAATTGCCGGTTGTTTGGATGAAGGAAATCCCACACGGAGGCTGTCCCTTATTACTTCAAGAGCAGGCAATTACAAATTGCGCTCCACTGGGCATTAATTCCAACGCTGAAAGTTTTGAGAATCAAATAACTTTTTAATCAAGGAATGCAAGTCGTCTAACAAGCGAGGCCCGCGTGGATTTGAAGCTTGCCGCCGGTGAAGGTTTGGTGTAATTAGGCAGTCCCTCCAGAAAAACGCGATTATGCGATCGCAAGATTTCACGCAAAATCAGCCAAAGTCCGCATATTTATGCGGGGGGCGCGTTTTTTCAAATACGCCGCACTTTCGCCGCATAAATTGCAGATTTCCGCGCGCAAAATATGCGGGCTTGCATGATTTCATAATCCCCGCATTTTCGTTGCAAAAAGTCACATATATCTTAG